GGAAAAAAAACAAAACAACAACACAAAGACGACGAAGAAGAAGAAGAAGAAAGCCAAAACCAAAGGAAAAAATAGAAAAATTCAAGTTTGTTGAACACACATAAAAATTGATTGATGAAATTAATTAATTTCGTTCTTCATTTGGTAATATGTTTGTAATTGTAAAAAAACAAAACGAATTAATGAGATTTTTTCGTTTCGTTGTTGGAAATGAATCGATTAAAATTGGTAATCTTGTTGTTTGTTTCGCATTTGTAGCATGAAATAATAAAAAAAAATTCAATTGACCTTGTGATGTATATTCCAATAATTTTGATAATATTCGATGATGATGTTTGTGTTTGTGTTAAAAGGAGAAAATTCCAAGAAAAATTTCTTCTAGGAAAATTCTTTCAATTTCCATTCACAAATGGATGAATCATTCGATTTCGAATTAAAAAAAAAAAACAAAACAGAATCCAAAATTCTGGTAATAATCAAACGATCGTCATCAGAAGAAAAAAACAATTTTCAATCATCATCTTCACCATTTAATCATTTTTTTGAATTAAAGGTTTTTTTCCTACGCGTTTTTTTGTTTGAATTTAAAGAAAAAATACTTTTGGAAAATTTTCAACTACATTCTCAGGTACAAATGTATATATCACGTACAACACTGTTTACCTCTAAATTTAAAATTACAAAAAAAATTTTATCTGAAATTTCATTTCTCAAGAAATTCTGATTGATACATAATTTTTCACATATGTATGGGTGTTTTGTTTGAAAACAAAATTCTGTTTTTCATTGAACAAACAAACAGAAAAATCAACGATCAAAAATCGATGACGTCTATGGAATGAAATTTACCACTGACCACCATCAGACAGACATTTTCAGCTGTTTTTGTTTCCATATATGAAAATAAGTTAATTATTTTTTTTTCAGTTTTTCTGACCATTTTATTTCATTCATTGTCAAATATATTTTTGATGGCGGATACATTCAACAGCTGCTTTTTTTCGTTTACGGAAACGAACAGAAAAAAAAATTTACAAAAAATTTCTTTCTCAATCATGGTTAGTATGGATGACAAATAAAATACCCAGAACAAAAAAAAAATGTACAAGGTCAATGTTCAATTCCGTTTAATTTTTTCATTTTTTCAATGGAACCAGCCAGCATTGACAAACAATGTTTGAAAATTTGTTCCAATTTTCTGTTCTGTTCTGGTTGTTGTTGTTGTTTTTCAATGTTTTTTAAAAAAAAAAAAAACCATCCAAAAAATGAAAATCATCATCCGCATCATCACTGAAACGTAACTTTCAATTAAAAACCCCATTACAACCAAAACGAGAGAGGACACACAGAGAGAGAGAGAGAGAGAGGGAGAAAGATAGACACAAACATCCTGTGCTATGATGATCGATTCATTCGATTTTAACTTCATTCAATAAATTATTACTATGGAGGGGAGGAAGAATGAAAAACATACATACAAAACATAACATACAAACAACACTTTAAACACTGTCAAGCACACACACATATGTTTCCTTTTTCCATCTATCTCAACCAGCAAAAATATTTTGTTCCCATTTCCCAATATATATTTGCTCTGAGTGTTCAATATATTATTTAGGTTTCATATTGATTGATTGATTGATTGATGCTCTTAACAACAACAACAACAATAATTAATCATATCAGTTTTGGAATTGAAAACTTTTTTTCTTATCCAACAGAAAAAATGGACAAAAAAAAATAAGTTTCTAGCTGAAAATTTTTTTTTCAAGTTGTTGTTGTTGTTGCCTATAGTTTCTGGTTTTTGTTTATATGATGATGATGAGCAAAGATCATCAATTCAGACCATCAACAAGTGGTTGACAACAACAAGGAAATCTTTTTTTTTTAATTTTTTTTTCTTTATCAAAAATGATTTGATTTTTGATTTTTTATATAACCTGGTTATCATGATATGGATTATGTCGCTTTTTGTTGTTGTTGTTGTTGGTGTTTTATTAACCCTTTTTTTTCTCCCAAAAAATGTTTATTCAAATCACACATTTGGTATTGTTCATTCATTCATCGATCAGATTTTTTTCTCTCAATCCAAAAATTCATAAATAGCATCATCATTTTTAGAAATTTTTTTTCCCCTCTACTAACTAACTTTGTAATTTGTAATCAGATGTTTAAAATGAGCATTTTCTTCATTTCTCAATCCAAAAATATTTATTTATTTATTTATACACCACCATCATTTTTGGCTAAATCGATTAAAGGTTAATGATGATCAGTGCAAGAAAAAATGATTCGATCAATCATCGATCATTGGATGTGTGTGTGTGTGTGTGTTTGATTAAGGCATTTTTGACCAGTGTTTCTTTTTATTAGTTTTTGGTTCCCATGATGGTAGTTATATAAATAGGCCAGCATCAAGAAAAGCATCCACAAAAAAAATTAAAAACCACCATTTTGGATCTGAAAATCAAGCAAAAAACAAGAGAAAATTTCCAGTGTTAAATTCTCTGAATTCATCAATAAATAAATAAATAAAAAAGTTTATCAGAAAAAATTTGCCCAAATAAATTTAGATACGGAATGAATATTTCATTACAAATTTTTTTTTCGAAATGAAATCAAACAAGGGGAGATGAATGGGGGAGAAAAGAAATCCTCTATTTATTCAATTCAATCAACCGAAAATAGAAGAAATTTTTCAGAAAAACATATAAAAATAAATAAATAAATAAAGAAAATGAATGCAGCAAACAAGTTGATCCTGTAATATTTT